TTTTGTTCTTGTTTCTAAAAGGCCACAGAATACATTTTGATTTTGGGCTGTTACAATTTCGCTCTATTTGCTGACATTTTACAGAATAAATGATTAATGATGAATAATGACAATAATTAAAACTCCAACGCTACTTTCTATAGTATTATATGTATGTCCTTTATAACAGTTACATATTGTAGTGACCTGACTGTATTATAGCAGTACGTAACCCCTATGTATAGCCTGTAGGAGGCTTTATTCTTAACATTCTTGACCTCCATTACATCTACACAGATCTGCCTCCCTCGCTCACGCTGTTGCTCGCTGTTCCATGTCATGTTAATATCTTGTCTGCCTTGCCCCACACTTTCTCACGATTGACTGAAGATGTTGACACTGAGCACCACATGTCAGTCCTTGTACTGTGATGAGATGCAGGATGTGTTATACTTTTTTTCTCCCAATGTACAGACATGGGAAACGATAATGCCATAGGCCTTGCCTGCCTTATTAAATGAAAACAAACCAGGCCAGAAGCACTTGAGGACAGTTCACGGATCAGCTCTCTCTTTGAGTTTTACTGTTTTCCAGGCTGATTGTTGCGTGTACATAGTGTCTGTTCCTGCGACCCCAACTGTTTGTGTTGGTAATTCATTCATAAGTGGGGTCAGTTCTAGCGAATGTGCTCAAAGCTCTTCATGGGAGAATAAATGACACTTGAGGCCTATTTAGACTTCCCTGCTGCAGTGCAGCTCAGACGACAACCAAAGGGTTAGCATAGCCTTCCAGTCCTCACTCAGACTGCTCTGTAAACTTAAACACACAGAGGCATCTTTCTTTTTCTGTTCCTAACAAGCAGCTAGAGTCAACAAGAGAACAACAACTTAGCTATGCATGGAGAAACACAAATGAGGCACCTCTGGCAAAACCACATTTATTTTGGAAACATTACAGTGCACTTGAAGCAAAGTTTACATAATGAAGGCTTGAAGCATCTACTGTAAGTGTGTGTCTGTGTGGGTGTGTTTCAGAGGTGAAAGAGAGCGAATGGCAGAGCATAATGTGTGTATAACAGAGAAGATGGAGCAGCAGAAATGTCGATTTGCTTTTCTCTGACAAGCAGAAGTGAGGAATTGAGTTCATTTAGATTGAGGATGATACAGATGAAGGGGAAATGGAGTGAGATAACACAGATGACGATTACCAGTGATGAAGAAGAGGATGGGCGGGAGCTTGTGAAGCCAACTGAAACTGAGACAAATCACAGTGATTTCACATTTGTGAATATTATACCAACAGATTAAACATTAAGATTAACAACCTTAAGATCTTATGGTTATGCGGGTAATGGTGGTGATTGTCGCTTAAAAAGGATTCATTATAGAGTATTTATGTTTCTCACTGAATACTGTAGTAGAGGACCGCCTCGGGGAGAGAAATTAACCCTCTAGGGAAAATCTTGGTAAGCAAAGTAATAATTCACAGCCTTTTCCTGGAAAAGATAAGACTGCTGCTGTTTTATGTTATTATCAGTAAATCCCACGAAATACCAGAGCCAACAATGGCTTTAACTTGTATAGGTATTGTGCATTTGCCAAAGACTGATATACGACATGTTATGTTTTGGCTTATTGATTTATACCTGTATACATTTTTTAAAACATAAGGTACAGCCATAATGTTTTGTGTGACATAAGTCTATATTTGGTATTATATCATAAAGGATAGAAGTATTAGCAACTTGTTATTTTTCAATCAGGGCTATGTAATTCTTAACATTTTAAATAACAAGAAGGTACACTAAGTAATTCACTTTCTCGTTTCTGCCTCTCAGCGGGAGATTTAGAAAATGCATTTGTGGAGTTATTTTCGATCAAGCTTAACATATGATGTTAATTGAATCAAAGCAATGTGTCATGCAGGGCAACAATCGTATAGCATGAATGTTCTTGTTCAGAGACTACACAGAGTTAGTAGCATGCATTCATTGTTGATTCGAACATAAAACATTACCAGGCTTATCCTCTATCACGGTAGGGATTCATCCAACATCCACTTCATTAATGCTTCGACAGTGATGGTTTAAAACTTCTTAGAGGCTTCTGTAAAATCCTCTTCCCTGCTGCACAGGAGGAGAAGTGTAGCATGTTTACAAAAGGGAAAAGTGAAACAGTTTAGACCTAAATATGAACCATAGATTGCTTCAGTCTGCACTGGCTGTCTTATTATTTACTTGACCCTAACTAAATGTGTTTTTCAGTAAAAAATGCTCACCAATATTGCCTTTGCACTAATGTCAAAAACACCGGTTTTAGGGTTAATTACCTCCACACAAACATTCTGTGTTTCTATTAAGCAGCCTCTGAGCTCACAGTATGACCTAATCCCCTGCAGCCTTTTCCTTGTAAATTATGTTTTCTTTTTGGGCTGTTCTGCCTTTCTAAATAAGGTTTAAGAGATTCAGTGTGTCTGTATGGGTTTCATAATGCTGTGCTGCTTTGCCACTGCGTTTGACAAACCAAGTTTGATAAATTCCAGTCTTATAGCGCTCTGAGCCATGTTGAGGAGCTCAGGGGATTACTGCACGTAAAAGGATCCATAACAGCTCAACATACAATAGAGTGATGTGGATACATGTAGAGGACACATGGGGCACGAATCACACAGGTTCTTTCATAATTCAGCAAGTCTATGTGGAGCAACATCACACACATTCAACTTTACAGAGGGTGTTGTAAGAGGGCCTGTGTTGGTCCCTTTGTTGCATCTTAAACTAATAACAGATCGGAAAAAATGCAAACTGGGATGTTGCAACATTAAAAGCAAATCAAGTTAGTTTGTCATCCTTTGTGTGTTTTCTATTGTCCTCTCTGTACACTGTAATGTTTTCCCTCTATTGTTTGAGAGGGTCATTTTCTCATTCATCATTGTATTGTTTGCACATAATCTATCAGAAGGACCCCATTATTGTCCTCGTGCCACCTCAAAGTGTTGATTGTGGCTCTTTAACATTTTCGGATCTGCTTTGCGACTCTGCCAATTTGAATTTAACTCTTTTGCGTGGGGAATTGCTTTCATAGAAACTTCGTATTTCCCTTGGGACAAACTGTGCCCAGAAACAGTGAAGGAATTTTTGTCTTTCTTTAAAATCTGTGTTAGTTTATTTCCGTAACAGATGCAGTCCCCATTGGAATTAATTAGGCAGCTTCATCAAGTGGTTCTAACAGTTGTTGTTTATTTAAAGAGTGGCTCTTGTTTCTCAACTGGAGCCCTTATTAGGACTAAGCTAATTTGTATAGTGTCAGAGTATCAGAAGAAAGCCGTTGACAGTCATGCTTAAAGTCTAAAGCAGCACAGACTTTAATTAGTTTCAGTCCTGGTTCTGACTTTCACTGTAATGTAATATTAGCAGCATCATTGAATCACTCAGCTGTTGGATCATTAGAGGCTGTTGACGCCACAAACTGAACAGCTTAACAGCGTTTTGCCACAGATAATGCTTTTAGTAAATGTTGCACAAAGAACATATTTTCTTTATTCCAAGACAGCTTAACAAGTGTGTCATGCTGACTTGCAAGTGTTGACAGGTGAAACAGTTTGCTTCACTCCTTGCTCGCTTGTTTGTGCAAAAATGCGACAAATCGAATGTCACACGCAATGCAATGTTATCTCTTCGGTTTTTTTTGTGATGAAAGCTGCCAAAACACTCAAAACTGTCATGAACATAGTACTTTGACTCCTGTGATGAGTTAGAAGGTAATGAAGTGCACTTGTAACATCTTATCAATGCAGTGTTTCTGTCTCTCAATTCGATTACTACAAGCATCTTTCAGTGGCAACACACATTTTTTTCCTTATTTCGATTCATGGCATACTGTTCTTGCATATATTCAATCAATCAATCAATCAATCAATCAATCAATCAATCAATCAATCAATCAATCAATCAATGTTTATTTATATAGCCCAATATCACAAATGTTACATTTGTCTCAGTCCACTGAGACAAATGTAACATTTGTGATATTGGGCTATATAAATAAACATTGATTGATTGATTGATTGATTGATTGATTGATTGATTGATTGATTGATTGATTNTACTGAACACTTTGGGATAGAGTTTGGCAAAATGTCTCCGTCCAGTACATGCCTTTAGGCGGGACAGGGACAGTACATATGAAATGAGAGAGAGGCTTCATTAATTTGGCTTTTATCACAGTAGGGACTAACATCAGGATACATTTTGGATAGTTTGACTTTTGAAATATGAGCTCTATGTACCACTTTGAACTGAATTAAGCAATGAATTAAGCAGAACTGAATTAAGCAGTTAAGCACATAGAGAAGTTGAATTAACCAGTTTAAGTATAGCATTCCATTTATCTGCTGGAAGGGGAAGGCCCGTATCCGTCTCCAATGCTGCCCTGAGCTTATCTGTGGAGAGACACCTTAGATCTGACATCTTGTTGTAGAGGGCTGAAATAAGTCTGGAATGGATTTAAGGAGAGGACAGTATCAACAATGGTTGCATCGGTAGATATGGAAAGGCTGGGTGATTGAGAGAGCATATAATATCTTGCCTGTAAATATCTAAAAAAATCTGATTTGGGAAGATTAAATGTCCTGCTCAACTTCTTGAATGATGCCAGAGTGTTATCTATGAAAATATATTTAAAGCGAGTGACTCCTTTCCTGCGCCGTTCTAAAAAGCCACAATCCAAAACGGATGGTTTAAATAAGTGATTTTTTGTTATGGGACTCAGATGAGAAAAGTCTGACAGGCCAAAGTACTTCCTAAATTGAGCCCATATCCTTAGAGAGTGTTTAACCACCGAGTTTCTGATATATTTGATTGATGGTGGAAGTTTGGATCCAAGCAGTGCAGGAAAATACAGTATATATTACCCTCTGAGTGCAATTCCACCCAGTTTGGGGGATCGAGGTGGCCGTGGAAGTGAGACCAAAATGCAAAGCGATGCAGATTAATTGACCAGTAGTAGAAACAGAAGCCATACCACCATTAGCTTTGTTTTTTTGCAGGTGGGCCTTGTTGAGACGGGGACGCTTACCCTGACATATATAGGAGGTAATAAGAGAATCCAATTGGTTGAAAAACGATCTAGGGGTAAAAAGCGGTAGGGCCTGAAAAAGATAAAGAAATTCAGGTAGGATGGTCATTTTGATTGAGTTGACACGGCCTACAAGGGACATTGATAGAGGTAACCACTGTGTTAGGGTTTGTTTTACCTGATTTAAGAGAACCAGCAAGTTTTCTCTGAATAGGTCTTTGTATTTTGTAACTGAGACACCCAAATAACAAAGTTTGTAGCTTTCAATTTTAAAAGGCAGGTAGGTGAAGTTCAAGGTTTGTGCTTTGTCATTGATAGGAAAGAGCTCACTTTTTTGAAAGTTTAATTTGTATCCTGACAGGTTCGTTAGTTTTGACAGCAACATAGCATCTAATATGTGTTGTTGAGATAAGTTAATGTGAAAAAATGTTAGTTTTGACTTTGACTTTAATAAGAACATCGAGAGACATTTCTTACCAGACTTTGATCATTAGAATCACACTCGCTGGTATTCTTCATAGTCGCCCACTGGCCGCTTGCATCACATTCCTGATAAACCATGCCATGATGTACTAAAAAAACACAACGACACACACAGTCTTTAAAAGTTACTCTGCAGAATCTTTTGACAAGCTCTTCAACATACAGTGTGTATCTCTTAACCACATGTGTCTTACCTTTATTGTGCCACGGAAGATACCATGGACACGTCACACTGACTGTGGCGTTGGGGAGTCCATCAGGCCAACAGGCGTAATTGTCAAATAGCCTGTTGCACACAAGACCTGGAGATAAAAAAAAGAAATTATAAAATATGAATAATTGTCTCATATATCTAAAGTCCTTACATATCATGTCTATGGCGGAAGACGTCTATGTCATGTAGTCATGTCTTTGAAGTGATGGCTGCTGGTCAATTTGGCATCTCTACACTCCATGTTCTTTCATCTTGATGAAGTAAAGTGAAGCGCCCTATCAATGACCTTCTTCCCAAACCATACCTTTCATCTTCTCCACAAAGGATGTAAACTATGCTGGTGTATGGACAGTTAGAGCTTCATGTGTCCCATCTCCTCTACTGACCTAATAGGGTGATATTGTGAGAGCATATGTGCGACAGAGTGGTGTGATTTTGTGTTCAGTGTAGGAAGCTGTCTTTTTGAAACTTGGAGCCTCGCTGTTCTCTAACAAGTTAACAGACCATAATGTAACTGAAGGGCAGCATTCGCCACGTAGTTAAACACTGCTGCTGGAGCAAACTGGGGCCACAAAGCAAAGAGTGGGATGCGGCAAATAGCACAAAGGTTTTTAGCAGGGAGCGGAAATTGCTGTCGCTCCATCTGGTGACAGCGCAACCTCACCATTAACAGCTCTACAGCATTCGATAGTTCCCACTGTGCTACAAGGTGAAGGCAATTACTCTACTGCCAATCATATATAAAAGTGCATCCCTTTTTATATGTGTCTCCTCAGAAATGTTGTCAGAGCACTAATGGTGATTTAGGAATCAAACATTATTATAATGTTGCACTTCATTGTTTTTCCGTATAAGAAAATTAAAGTGAAAATTAATGTCAGTGTTGATTATAAATGTAGCCAAAGGAAGCAATACATTCCTGAACTGAGCTCTAATATCTGCATTTTGCACCATTAGACGCTACAGTGACTGTACTGTAGTTGAATGCAATAAAGAAGTACTTGAAAGATGTACCTACTTTTTTTGGTGGAAACAAAAGAAAAGATCTTAAAGAACAGGTGGCTAGTATACTCCAAATAAATGTTACTCTGTGTCAGCTAGTTGTGTAAAACTGGATGTCTTTTTAAACTATATCAACATTAGAAGATGATTTCATGCTAGTATTGTTTTTATGGTTAGTTTGCGCTGCACCCAGGTGGGCCAATAAAACTGTTCTTGTAAGTTTAAACATTGAAAACAGATACTTGTAAATCTCACCGGCGCTTGGCGGGTCTCGGCTGTTGTTGCGCTCACACTCGTCCATGTATAACTTCCAACTCTCCTTCAGCTTATCCAGAGAATCAGCAGGAGACACCTAAGGAAACATTGAATCATTGCAGCAATACTCCCAATAGCCCGAGGAAGGTCTGTTATTCCTCGACTTGCTTGATGTAACACAACAGGTGGGCAAGAAAAATGCTGACTATGTGTGCTTCATACAAACCTAGTAGACAAAATGTATTACTTTTCTAAATTGGCATTCATTTGTTTTACTTCACTTCATATACACAGCAGATTTAAACAATACATTCTCGCAATGGGGATATTATCCATCAAAGTGATGCAGAGTCCCACTTGAACGTGTTGTCTTTATAGAGGGTTTTGCTACTGTATGGACAGGCTGATTTATTGTAGACTGCAACACTCACTGTTATTAAAACAAAACAAGGGCCGAAAGTTTGTTTGAGCTTCAACGTCACTACTCTCTGGTTTGTTTCAAAAGGCAGCAGAGTTGAAGGAACAAAACACCACCCCCACACTGTAAATAAGGCGAGTGACTAATGAAAGTTCACACACACATAGAGGCTGTATCTCTGGGGGGGGGAAAGCGAGGACATGTGTTTTTCTGTGTGTGTGCTCTTACTTACTTCAATGCTGCAGGAGACAATCAGCATTGCCGCAAAGAGGAACAGCCGTGACATCCCTTATTCCGGTTGTTGGTGCTGGGGGGGATACTGCAGGGGAGGGGAGGGTTTTCACCTCATTAGGGGGCTTATCTACCCTCGCCACACTACCTGGATGACAAAGAGACACACGATTAATTAATGTGGATTGCAAACACACCACTTATTACCTCATCTTGGCCTGCAAAAAAAAGGACCAAAACAATAAAAGGCAATGATTGATTTGAGATTTGTGCCAGGATTTGCAAGGTGTACATGCAACAAGAGGGGATTCCCAGAACGAGACATGTCACAGGTGATCAAACGCTACGGGAAATGCTATTCATCCAAACAATACAACAGCTGTGGCTCAGCTTAGCAGTACCCACTGAGAAACCTACAGTTTGCTGCTGTCCACCTTCATCCAAAATCCCGTCAGTGCTCGGCCGAGCGTGAGTGAGTGTGTGCCAGAGGTCACTCACCTGTGTGTCCGTCAGACTCTCAATTTCTTCCGAGAGATTTGGTTTGAAGCCGGAGAACGGAGCGAAATCTGAAACGTTTCTGCAAAAAACACCTTGACCATTGAAACATTTTTGGCGAAAACGTTTCAAATTCCATTCTGTTCCAGTCTCGTGGCAGGTAGGAGGATGCAGCTTGATGTGATATGTTTGGAATTATGGTGTTGTTCAAGAGATTTGAGCACCATGAGTCATGACAGATGTACAGTATGTAATGTGTGTACTCAAGAAAGCCTTCAATTCAAGTGATTTGGTCTGCATTTTGACTGAACATGTCAACGAGCTGCTATAGTCTGGGTTGAAGTAGCCGCCGGGAGCTTCCAGACACAATGTAGATAACCAGCCTATGTATTACAGAGCTCTACTGGAAGTCATGCTTTAGATAAAATCTAAATCAAAGAGCCCTAGTTGGTAAATGGCCTGCTCAGTGTAATGACTACAGGATGCAGTTAGCATTAGCTGTAGTACAGACTGACTGATTGCCCTCGGCGCCTGAGGGATCAGAGCTACTCTTGTCTGCTCTGACATCGGTTCAGGACCGGTCCAGCTGAGGTCTCAGCAGCGACTCATTAGCCATAACGCCATGAGACATGTTGCAGTCACAATTCCGCTTCCATTGCTGTAGCACTTTATGACAGTTTTACATGAACACATGGGGCTTAACACAAATAAGCATCTCTGGTATGAAGGGATGGCTTTGATTCAATAACTCAAGGATCCATTACGTCTCATTAGAGAGTTAAAGGCAAATCTTCTTCATGCTTCACAAGCAAGAAACAGCAGACAAGCTTAGGCATTCAAGCCAGACTAGGTATAAACTCTGCAATACAAAACATTCAGTGTAAGTTCCTAACAGAGAAAGATCTCAGGTATCATTCTGCGTGCGCATTGCATTTAACCCATGATCTTGCTGACGGCAACTTAGCACCGACTGTAAGCAATGATTAACCAGACTCAGTGCTGTAGGATGACGAAAGAGAGGAAGTTCAAACTGAGAGAGAAACGCAGGGAAAAAATGTCTGGCCCCAACCCAATGCCCCATCTCTTAAATATTTCTGAATGTGTCTGTCAACCAAAATGTAGAGCTCACATGCGTTTCTCTAAAAATAAGGACGTTAATACATTGAAACATGTCCTTTGATTACATGACTAACTAACGCCACATTAAAGACCCCTCTCTATCTCTTACTCTGTGAACTTTACACGTAAGAATTATCTCTTATCCCCCTTCTTATTTTCATCTCTCACCTCACAGACGAGCTATTTTCTGCTTTTTCTTAAAACAAACCTTCACTGCTTGAAATGCATCAACAACAAAAAAGGCAGAACACGAGAGGATTCCTCCCTGAGGACATATGTTAGTATGTATTTCATGCTTTATTTCTGCAGATTTGTCATGTACATGCTTGGATGCCTCTGATGCCGGGCAATGGGAATCATCCAGCCATGTGGCGGGAGCTGGGGTGGAACTAATGGACTTGAAGGCGGGAGGCTGATTCAGCTTGTATATGCTGCTGTTATGATATCGGGCTGGAGCTTCGGCTCTGGGCTCCCACTAAGCTGTGATACACTCGGCCCGCTGTGGATCAAGACCATTCAAGTTCCTTTATAACAAGTGTAAGCTTTCTAATCCTGGAAATAACCTGGAGCTCTCATCACTCTTGTTACACGTCTGATTTAGGATGGCTGAGGGACCTCTCTTCCAGTTAAGGCCTGTTTCTTTTGGTGTTTTTCATCCTGAAGTACAACCAATATGTTTTATGGCTGCCTGGTGATGAGTTTAATGTGTGAACAATGCTGTGATGCTTAAGTTTATTTTTTTTGTGCAGACATGGCACTTTCAGCACATTATATAAAGTACAGGACAATTTGTCTATAAAAGGAAATGAAAATACCCAATACTAAATGCTCATTTTGATTGCAAGGACATACAGCTATTTACTTTGAATAAAGCCTGGTCATTTATATGATTTGTGTAAAAATACTGTATATTGACAATAACAAAGGAATGACGCAAACTCTGTGAATGTCCCAAACTGCTCTTTGTTCAAGTGCATTTTGGAACGGCTCGGTACAATGGCCACTAACAATTACTGTTGTTTGTTTTGAGAGTACTTACCTTTCATTTGATTGCACTGTCCAACAAATAAAATTACAAAAGGGGTAATCTATGCGCAAATAAATGTAGGCTGAGGGGAGCAACAAGCATGGAAAAAACAAACCTCTTGGGAAATACAATGACTGTCCGGTTCGCAAAATGCCCCCGAGCAACAATCTGGCATGCTGCTTTACAAATGCGGAGGTGCTTGTGACAGTAAAGGCAAATCCCTCGTGCATCACCCATCTTATGCAACTTTCCTTCGATTGATGAGACCTTTGTTCATGTACTAATGCTGAAGTCACATTCGATAATCTTGCTTTGATTCAGAAATATCTGAGACATTAACAAAGTAAATGCAAAACATCCAATAAGCTCTTCGCGGATTCTTCGCGCTTCATGTGGTTTGACTAAATAAGCCGAGAGAAGCATGCCCCGCTCAGACCTTAGGGCGGTTCCACTGAGCATGACAGTGCCTCACTATCTGATAATGGGGTGATGCAGAGTTCAGAAGAGACGGTGTGTCCTCTGACTCTGCGAGGAAGACGGGACATCACTAAAATTCAGGCATTTCGCTCTGCATGACTAACTTTGATTCAATTAGATATTACATTTATCTATTACAGTTAAAATATTCCATCAAATTCAGCTTCTTCCCTTTTTGTCTCTAAGAGTCAAGTTCCTTTGTGCAGTAGATATAGGACCGGCGAACTAACCTCTGCCTTAGTATAAAGCAATTATTAGCATATTGAAGATCATATCACCATGGATTCACTTTCTTTCAGAGCTTATCCGTTATTATTTTGTATCTGATCTGCTATTACCTGTCTACTTTTACTTCAGGAAGTACATATTAATATTCCAGAGAAAATGTTTGAATATGTTTGAAAACCTCACAGAACATGCCAATAATTCCTTGCACAGTTTAGAGCCTTGTTTTTGATTTGGTCTTAAAGTTATACATTTTTATATTTTTAATTGGAGCTTTCTGGACAGATATGCGAGTTACTTTTTCAAAATAGCTATTATCACCAAATGACAAAGACAAAAACAAAGTATATTTTAAGGACAAAATAAACAGAACCTTAGTACAATCAAGGCAGAGTAACATATCAGATCACTGTGACTCAAAATGAAATGTAAGCCAAAGAAAGCTTTGTGCTGATGTCCTGCTTTAAAAACATATCAGCAAATATAAAAGCAGAACAGAAATGTTATTTGCAGTACAGCACCACTTTAAAAAGGTTACCCAAATAAAGCACCTGGGTTCTCCCAGGCAGCTTTTTGGAGCTGAAAGTCCTTCAGCTGTAAAGATTAGATTCACACAAATCAAAGAGAAAGATTTCCCTTAGCTGCTCGTTGAACTCAAACTCACTTTTTTCTGGAGTGTTTGATTGTCAAGGCGTGTCTTAAACATGCATTAATGACGCTGAGAGCAGCAGCCCAGTGTCATCCAAACACATATTATATTTGTCTCTCTACAGCCAATTTCTGCCAGTGTTACTGATGAATAGGTCTGTTTCTATGTGAATCTATAAAAAAAGGCTGCCATTGATCATAAGGACAGAAAGTTTAAAGTATATTATCAATGTTTATATTGCTTAAAATCTATTTTGCAGTCCATCTGCACCATACCTGTGGTTGAGAAGTGGGAAAGGCACCACCACACAGCAAAACTAAAAGGGCACTTAGCATAGACCCCTGCCAAGGCCGTATCTGTTAGTGAAAAATAATATGCGTTTCCAACCCATTATTCGGATCGGCTCCAAAATATAATTGTATCTACATTGGCATTTGCTACACACTTCTGCCAAGATTCATTCAATTCAGGCTATAACTATTTCCGAGGTAATGACCCCTAACAAAATATACACCATGGCTCACAGAGCTTAAGACTTTTTGGATAGAAAATAAATGGAACCACATATTTTACCCGTTTGAAGCATTGAGTTTGATAACAAATATTTAAGTATAAAAAAAGCAACTATGTCTTACCAAGTCTAAATACAGTACTTTAACGGTGTGCCAGTGGGATAACCCCTGTTAAATCAATGTGATAAACAGTCTTTACGACAAAGTAACCAGGCTCACAATGGTTATAGCCTAATTTGGTCAAACTGTCTGTCGGATTCTTTTGTCCGGTTTGTTGGATTTGTTAGAGGATAGGAAATACACTGCTCTAGTTTCTCTGCTGAACGGTGTTTGGAACATGTGTCAAGTCTAACGTGTTGCTTGTCATCCATCTCTTACACAGGCTTGTACATTTTTCCTTTTCCATGCCTCTGCGAATACGATTATTTCAATGTGTGACAGTTTTTTCCACCCTGTGATTGAGCTGCTCTAAGATGCATGCATTACGAAAAACGTATAATTGTACTTCACTGCAAGTCAAATGTGTCAGCAGGAACAGTTTTCAGTTTTGTAGGATCAACACATTGCTTTGCTTTTGCATTCAAATGTAAAGAGAGGAAAATCTTCAGGTTTTTAAGATTATTTTTAGCAGTTCACTTTCTAATTTCT